CAACAACCCAGCAGGAGGTTGTAATGTTGTATGATTGTCAATCACAGGAACAGCATCCCTGCTCATTCCCCACTTTGTACTATGTTCCAAGAGATCATTTCACTACTTTGTGCAACTAACTTCCAACAATATTTAGAAGTTATTTTAAGCAAGGGGTTGGATCGGGATAGACACGAAAGAGCTAAGGAAAATGACAAAGCGTTCGAAAGTAGGACACATTCGACTTTTTTATGCGAATGGAGATGACATAATGTCATCCTCCACTCACATAAATGTAGTCGGATGTGTTCAACTTTCGTGAGTTATATCATAATTCAATAGCTAAATCCATAAGAACTTAGTATATAATTACACATTGCACTCCATATTCACTAAACAATTTATTGATCAAAGTAATGCCCTTGGACCATTAAGAGACCAAAGTACCCCAGCTTTTCCAACTTGGAAGAAGGACCACCAGCAAAAGAAAAAACCTAATATACACACACTAGGACCACCAGCAAAAGCGATCCCTCGTGCTCACACACTGACGGAGTAGTAGCTGCATAGATTACTGCTTATACAAGATGTAATAGATGACAAGGATTATAAATATCAATAACAAGGGGTGTGTGTGTGTGTGTGTGTGTGTGTGTGTATATATATATATATATATGTGTGTGTCTCAAACCTCAAAGCTTCACTTTTTCAAGGGAAGATGCCTAGAAAGTTGCAGAGGTAATTTTCAACCAATGATCACCTCCAGCCCCATTACCAAGTGGTTGATTTCCCAAGAAAATGACTCATGCAATTTGATCATCATAGGGGCCGCAATCACTTTCAAAATTTCAAAATCTTCAATAATTGAACAATAACAAAAATGGAAACATCGGAGTCCAATGGGATATCCTAGATTATGAGGAAGATATTGGCAACATGACATGAAAACTTGCAAAGAAAATTCCCATTTGTGGTTTATCAAATAACAAAATTACAAGGACGCCAATGAGTCTCACATCTGTTGATAAAGAAATTAATCTAGAACTTATTTGAGGTAAGAGTCACTCCTAAGTTTTATTAGTAATTATGTAAGCATACAACTATATGCTTTAGATGCATTGTTTATGATATACATTTAATACTCAAGTTTACAGAACAAATAGCAGCAAAGAACCAAAGCGCTGAGATAAAAGAGTTATTGCAATCTACATGTATGCATATAATAGACCTAACATAACCCATTGTAGGGCTGCAAATAATCTCTTGATGTCCTAACAAAACCTATCTTCCAATAGGCTCACTCAATATATATATATTTAATAGCAATAATAAATGAATACATAAATGGAACTCTATCCTCCAATCTGATCTCTGAAATGAGAATCCTGGTAAAGAATCTATGGCAAATTAATGTAAAAAAGGAGAAAAAAAAACAAATAACCCAACTGGACCACTTACTCTTGCATCTAGGCCACAAAAAATAAATAAATAAATACATACAATTAAAAATAAAAATAAATCTTCTATATTATTACATTTTTCTTTCCTATAACCGAACTGATATTTTAGACCTTCCCATAAACAAGTAATGCGGCCAATCCATCCTCAAATCATATATTCACCCAATAGAGAAGTAGACTCCTAGTAACTTTTCTTCTTACTTGAGAAATGACTAAAATTACCAGTCAACAGTTATGATTCTTATCCATAATGTGTTAAAATCAAAGAACAACTAGGCAAGTGATAACCCAGGGTAGTGGTAAAATCACACTTGAGCTTTGGGGCTTCTAGCATTAAGTCCAGGATTTGATTTTCACTAGGAGCTTATGACTACTTTGGGTCATGCCAAATTTTTTGAGAGGTATTTTGGTAAGTATATATATTTCTTTATTCTGAACTCTCCGTTTTTTTATCATCATAGTAAAATTTCTAAACCCCTTGGACGTAATCCTAATTTGGGGTGAACCAAGTAAAAAATTCGTGTGTTCTTATTACGTGTGTTTGACCTGATTTTTCTATATTTTATATTTAATTTCGCAACACGCATGCCAAGTGTTGTTCCATCACACCATCCTTTAGTTACAGCAACAAAAAGACCAAATCATTTATGGTATGTTTGGTTGGAGGGATGGATGAGAGGGGAATAAAAAGAAATGTTTTGTGTTTAGTTGAAGGGAATGGAAAAGAGGGAGGAAATGCTTCATCAATCGTTCCTTTTTAATTTTTAATCCCCCCAAAATTGAGGGGGGGAAGAGGAGAGAGAAAACAAGATAATAACAAACAAATTTTTATTTTTTATTTTTAACCTTCTTGTTGCGTAATTTGGAATGGATATATATATATATATATAAATATAATTTTATATGATGTGGGTATATTAGTAAAAATAATATAAAAAATATATTTCCCTTTCCTTTCTAACAAACAAAAACAATGTATTAATTACAACATATGCAATTTCTACAATTCATTCCATCCAATCAAGAATACAACTTTCCTTTATTATGGATGCATCATCCAACCCTTTTCATCCCCAACCAACCCAAGCATTAGAGATTTTCGTGTTATTTTTGGTGCTGTCTTATTTTTTATTTTTTCTCTAGATATGTGCTTTTTTTCTGTTTTGACACATGAAGGGAATGAGTCAGTCCTCTCTGTTATAAAAAACTAGGGTAATCAGCTTTATTACTTTTCAAGGCCTAGAACCATGATTTTTATGTATCATAAATTATAATCAATGGCCCATCGTTCCATAAATTTCACATTACTTCCTTTGGATTATCAAAAGTGAAAAACATGGTTTTGTTTTTGTTTTTTTAATTCTGATTCTTCATGATTGACATGAACAATTGAAGTATCAAACTATAAATTTGATTCTTAAGAGGGGTCAAGCTGCCATAATACCTATTAGTTCATATTCTAAACATCAATTTTCATAGTATCAAACCTCCATAATAAGAGACATTATTCAGTTCGGTTATAACAGATCCGGCCTAGAGAGAGTACTCGCGATAGACCCAACTTTGATATTTACGGCCATTCTAAGACTAAACTCGAACTTCAAACATTAAATTGTTGAATTAGGTAATGACCCTCAAAAGGGTTAATAGCATGTCTTATATAGATTTAGGAGCAAATTTAATGTGTTCATATATATATATATATATATATTTATAGGAGATATAGAAACCATGTTTGGTGATAGCACAGTACAAAACCAGTCTTGAATAATTGATGGAACAAAAGACTTCTCCTCCCAAGTGAGAGAGAAAAGTGCGTACCTGCTACCAGTGGTTTTGTTTCTACTGGAGGAGAGTAGGTAAAACATGTTGATTTTTGTTGGAGAAAAAACATAACATCATAATTGCACAACTCAGCCGGCCAGCTATGAAGCTTGGAATGTTGTTTAGGACAAAGTACACTTATAAGATTACCTATATCCAAGGGAGCACCAGACTGAATTGTTGACAAACCTTGTTATTTTTTATTTTTAATTAGGCAGAGCAACTACAACAAGGGCACAATGTAGATAGTAGAACTAAGTTACTAAGTAACGCTCGTTTTGAACTGTGTTACACCAACTCAAGTAAGTGAAATATTGGTAACCTAATCAAAATTTTTGTGACCAAGTGATATTTTTCTTATCTTTTAAAATGGATAATAAGAGTTCGGTCCCCAAAGAAGTAAAATGGTTGTGTATGAGTGGGGTGATGTTTCTGACCAATCAATAAAATTATAATAATAATAATAAGTATCCCAAGACTCATATATGAGTATAGAGACATGCACTTACAAAAACACATCTAATAATTCAATTTATTACTCCGTATGTTGTTACTTGAAAATAAATCGCAAATGCTTATATGATACATTGTGTTCAATAAAGACATTATTTTTTTTTAAAAAAAATAACATAAAATATAAAATAACATGGAGTGTCACGGATATATATATTTAAACTCAAACACACGTAACATAGGACTTAGATTTGGGCCCACGTAAATCTTAGGGAAGAAGATGGGGTTTCAAATATCACAGGAAGTGATATATAGTCTGAATAAAAATCTTACTGGAAATGAGATTGCTATATAGATTTTTCTGTGGTGGCATAGGACTCATCATTTGAAGCTCTAGCCCAACAAAATTACCTAATTATCCAGGAGTTACTCAATCATAATAAACCCAATACGTGAGAAGATCATGATAAGCCAGTAATGCTCAATTTCATCAAAACAATAACATCTCAAAATCAACGAAACAGATAAAGATGAAAATATTAAACTTTAAACTCATCTAAACAGCTAGAAGAGTTTCAGTCAGTAGATTTTAATTCTATTTTTATAAATCTTGTGGAATTTTTTCAATAAGACAATAGCTAATCAAATGCTCAAATTTGTTTTATTATTTTGAGTATAAATGAATCTAAAAAATTGTGGGATTCGATTTTCTTTTTCTTGTTTGACATTGTGGCTTTAAAATATTGTTGGAATTATATTAATGCCAAGTTTAAATACCGAACTCACTTCATATACTAAAGAAGGAATACGAAAAAATTGTTTCATATAATAAAAATAAAATATTAGTTCAATTTTCTTCTGTAATTTTAAATTGAACTTTTTCCAATTCCATCTATTTTAATTTTAAAATTCTATTTAGGCTTCTGAACTTATATGATTGATATAACAAATTCTACCTTTTTTATTTTTTTTTCATTGGAACTTGCAGTAAATTTTTTCATGTACGAATCACATGCTTATATCTTACTAAAGAAAAATCTACTTTTGATATGACATCTAAATAGAATAAAATAAGAAAGGACTAAAACTTTTATATTTTAAGAAGTTAAATGAAAAATCAAAAAGTTCTCGGAGATACTGATTCTCTTGTTGTTTGTCCTCCTAGATTTTGTGGTTCTTAAGGAGACACAAATCATAGAAATGCTACAATGTTTGCGACTTTAATAGGCCAACTGGCATGACCCCACCAACCCCACTCTACTCCTGGAAATTACAAAGAGCAGCCATTGCCACCTCTTTGCACACATCAGCCCTACACAAGGGTTTCTCTCTCTCTCCACTTTCTTCTTGCTTCTTTTCTTCTTTCACTTTCAGCTAAAATCTAAAGGGCAAACCCACTCCCGCCATCTCTACGAGAGAAATGGCGTCCGGCTCAATGTCCGCCCGTGGCTCCGGCTCTTGGACTGCTAAGCAGAACAAGGACTTTGAGAAGGCTCTGGCAGTGTATGACAGAGACACTCCTGACCGTTGGTTTAACATCACCAAGGCCGTTGGTGGAAAGACCGTGGAGGAAGTGAAGAGGCATTACGAAATCCTTGTGGAGGATGTCAAAAATATTGAAGAGGACCAAGTGCCCTTCCCCAAATACAGGTCCACTGGAGGAAGCAGCCAGGGTAACATTAACATGAGTTATGAGGAAACGAGGTAATATTACTTAAAAGTCCCTCACCTAGTGTAGAACAAAGTGACCCATGCACAACATATAGCTATTATCTACTCCTATATATATATATATGTACTCCTGTATTGATTTCTGGTACAGCTTCCAACCTCGAATGTACCATGTTGTGTCTGTCCTTCAATTCAAAACAGTGTTAGCTGTGGATTAACCATAGTATCAACAACAATTTTAAGTGGCTAAAGCTACAAGACTCAAGAAGAGAGTTATCTCAAGACTCAAGAATGTGTACTTATTATTTTGTTCCTGGAATTTACCTCGTTCTTTTCTTTTTTCGATAATTGGAGTGTCGGGGGCTTTGCGCTGAATATTGCAAAGCCGATTCTTTTACACGAATCGAGTAAAACTCAAATTATGTTCGTAATTGTGACATCTAAAGAATTGATCGTATTCAAAAGGATTCGAACCTAAAACTTAATGACACTAAATCTATCTCAAGGTTTCACCACAGAAGCCAACCCTTTGGGTTTCCTGAAATTTATCTTGTTATCCTATGATGGCACATGTTTTATAATATGATGTAATAGATTGATATTTTACCAATTAAATGTAAGTATGAACACATGCATGTTGTACTATTTAATTCTTTGGTAGCTGAAAATTACTCTAATTTTTTTGTATATGTAGGATGAAAAATCTAAAGCTCCGGTGAAGTACGGCCTCAAGGTAGCAGGAATGAAGATGCATTAATTGGTCTTCTCCCCCTGAATCGCAATAAGCGGCTCTTCGGATTGTTGTTGTTCTTATTAGTTTTTGAACTGTGTATTAGTGTTTCAAGGAAGGTAAATTAAAGCTATGCTTTTTACTTCCTTTATGTTTGTGTAATGAATTGTACGATTTGAAATTATATATTATAATTATATGTGTTTTGTTTACTACGATTGAAATTCTTGTTCATGAACAATTCAGGAATGGAAACTGAAACGGAAAATGAAAAATAAAACTGAGAGAACATTACAGAATCAAAGTGAAATGCAAGACTTTATTAAAAACACCTCTGACCTTCGGAATCCACGTTGAGACTCTCGAGTGGGAAAGATGAGCTTGTTGGAGTTGCTACACAAACAACCGGATGCTCTGATACCAGTTGTTGCGTGGGAAACGCAAAAAAACAACAATGTTCGAAGAATAAATACAAGCTATCACGAAGAATAAAAAAAATCACACACAAGAATACAAGATAAATATGATTCACCCAAAGACTACGTCCATACCGCACACCGAACAAATTCCACTATGAAAAAGATGAAGAATTACAATAAGAATTTTCTCTCAATCTCTCTCAATTGCTCTCTCTTGTGTTGGCACAAATTACAATGGAGAATTTTTTCCCAATTCTCACTTGCTCTCTTTTGTGTTGGCACAAATTAATCAATCATACAATTATTCTCTCATCAAGTCATCTTAAGGTTGATATATATATAGTCCTGGACAATGCTTGTCCTACAAGAACTTGCCTTTTGTTAAATCATGTAGGTTCCCAGGGGAGTTAGACCAGTTCAGCTCACTTGAGCCGATTCAACTTTTTTACCCAAACGTGTTACAACTCACAGCGTCGCTTGAACCGATTCAAGTGCCCTGAACCGGTTCAACTTTGTCTGTAGTTGTAGGTACCTGATATTTAGGTGGGTTCAAAATCATAATAAAGTAACAAATAGAGAGGTATATCTTACAACACAATGGAATCCGAGGTGGATCGAGAGAGGTGGAAGCCTAGGCAAAACTTGAGAGAGAGATAGAAAGAGGATGGCAGTGCACAATAACACAATTGACTCCCTTGATGAAGGTGTGAAGTGTGGGGAAACCTGGTTTTGATAGAGAGCCCAAAGCTCTTTCCATGTGGGAGGTCATTTCCTCTTTTTTTGTCTACCCCCCTCTTGGCCTTAGGTCTTATCTTTTTATAGGCCAAGTGAGAGTGGGTGATGTCATTGATGACATCATATGTTGGTTCACTAACAAAATAATTAAAAGAGATTAATTTCTCAAATAATCACAAAACAATGTTAAATAAGATGGGGTTAAATGCTCAGGAGTCAAAATGGTATTTATATCTTTACAAGTCAGGCCGAGTGTCGACTCGACGAACCCTAGACTTCAGCCACCAAACCAACACCTCTTCAGATCCCAGGTGCTCCCAAGGCCTGCTCCCAACTTAGGTTTTCATTCTTCTATTCGAAGTATGTTGATGCCACGGTAACTTTGACTATTGACCAGGTTATGTGGGCCATCGCTATTGATGTGGCATAGTTCATTAACCACTTGACTGATGTGGCGTTTACCATGTGGACTCGAGGGTATGACACCCACATTAGTCCCCATACAGGAGTGAGCTTCGTAGAAAGTAGAAGGTCAATCGGGTATAAAATGATGTTTTGTAATCGTAAAAGAAAATGAAGAATCTTTCGAGATTTTGAAAGGAAAAAACTTTATGAGAAAAAATTTTAAGCAGCAAAGTGTATCCCGAGATGAGGTATCTTAGAAAAGGTCATCTTGTGGAGGTTTCTCAGCAAAAATATAGCAACGAGATATCGTGTGGGACTCGAGGCAAATAGCTCGCTGAAGTAGGACTCAAGGCTAAGAACTCGTCAAGGATGGTGAGACATTTCGTGGTAATTTTGGGAAAAAACCTACGCAACAAAAGATCCTTAGGTAGGATTACTCTGAAGGAGGTAGATAGCGGGTAATTGTTCTGAGTTGCTCGATGATTTCAAATGGTGAAATTTAGTCAATGTTCAAGGTCACTTGATTAATTTTTATGATAGTTCATTCGAGGCTCTGGGTCACTCGATGATTTCAAATGGTCATGATTCTAAATCGAGGTTGTGGCCATCTGTTGATGATATGTCACTATCATGTGGACCACAAATATACTGGTACATGTAGTAGAGTTGTGCCTGTAATACCCCTAATTTTAAAAGGATAGTTTCGGCATTTTATTGAATGTTTTATTGCATTTTTGGCTTATTTGTCTATTTGCCTATTTGTTGGGTTGTGTTTTTATTTAATTTAATTATTTATGTGTTTTTGTTTAAATTGAATTATTTGTTTAATTGTTTTTATTTAGTTAAATTATGTGTTTTAAACTATTCGTTTTCATTAATGTATGTTTAATTGGTAATTTAATTGTCTGTTTTCATTAAATGTTTAATTAGGGTTTTATTTTCTGTTTAGGTAATTGAGTTTTTGATCGATTAGCTTTATTTGTTTTTTAGTTTTCCGTCTCTTAATATGATTAGAATTAGGGTTAAAGGATTGGCCTATAAATATATCTGTATTAATCTGCCAAGGGTTTTAGAACCCTATACACGTACTGGAGGCAGAGAGAAAATAGAGAGACTTGAGAGAAACAGAGAGAGGAAAACTAGGGTTTAGCTGGGACTAAGGCTGAACCAAGGAAGGATGAAAGGGTGTTGTACATGTGTGGAACCAAGGAGAAACAGAGGGATTAGAATGGTGAAGGATCACCGAAAAATCTAGGAAGACGGCGTAGAGATTTTAATTCAAAATCTCGCAGGCAAGTTCTATTCCTAACTCTCTCTCTTTGACTCGTGTTCTTTACATGCCTAACACAACTCCAGGAGCAAATAGACATTAAAGATTAATCTGGTTCGCATGTTAATTTTAAATACAACAGTATGCCTTTACATGAATTGGTGTTTGCTTGTTTGTAAATTTCCTTGCATAATTCATGTTTTAATTGATGTTAATTGATGCATAATGAATTTAATAAATTGTTGGGACTGTCTAGAATCTAGAATAGATGAGGAACCTTAGCAAGGACAATCATAAAGTCATAAAACAGCCGGCGTCAAGGAAGACGGAGGCTCGGAAGAGTGGAGGCGGCTCCACCCTTCAATGGAGGCGACTTTATTGAAGTGGAGCCGGCTCCACATGATGTAGAGGCGGCTCCAAGGGGAGTGGAGCCTGCTCTACCTTAAATTGGAGCCTCCTCTACCTTAAATTGGAGTCTGCTCTACATCCTTTTGAAGCTTGCTCCTTTGTGGATTTTCAATTTGTTTTTAATTTCAGCGATGGATTTTACTCCTGTACTTGGATTTTGATGTTCCAGTTTAATTAGAAGCTATACTGGAGGTTCTCAGAGGTGTCCTGAGCTTATTTAAAACTCCCAAGAGCCTTGTTAATGCATAATTAATCACCTTGTATTATAGTTTGAACAGTATAAAATTCTTACACAAATTGGTATACTGTTTTAGATGTGGAGGATTAAAATTGTTCATCATTGTTTTAGCAATTTTTTGAAAATGATTTTATAGTTTAAATCATGTTCCAGTGTTATAAATAAGCATGTGAATTTATATATTCTCTTATGCTTACTTGGAATTAATTGATGTTTACATGTAGGATCTGTATTATCAATTATTAGACTGTACGGAGTTGTATCAAATAAGCCTGTTAAATTACAGAATTTTATCATGCTTAGTATGAAACAATTGATGTTTATATTTAATAATTTAATTATCAATTGTTGGATGTATGGATTAGTTAATATTTACTTTCATTATCTGTATTATCAACTACTAGATGGATGGATTGTATGCACCGGTATAGGATGGTGGCATACTAGGGACGGATTAATTTCAAAATATTAAATCCTACCTATACGGAATAAGGGAATGGATTATAAAATAAATCATACTTATATTTAAGTCAGATCAGCTGAAACAAAGTTGAATGGCTAACTGGATTACTTACTGTGGATATGTAAGTCAGAGTAACTGAACAAGCTGAACGGCTTATTGGATTTCTTATGGATGGATAGGATAGGACTTTAAATATATTTTGATGGTACCGCGATATGAGCTTGAGTCTCAGAGTCGAGGGTTAGGGAGCGTATATGCAGTAGGATGAGTAGCTGGCTATGTTGGTTGAGGTATACCCTGTTAGGCTTAGGTAGTCATACCCACTCAGGTGCGTTTTGTATGTTGCCTTCTACTCAGGTTGAGACCCTCATCATAGTCCAGTGAGAGTCCCATAGTGTGGATATATATATATATATATATATATATATATATGTATGTATATGTACAGACTACATAGTTACTGTTGAGTTTGTTAGGATGTACATGTGTATCGAGTCTTTGTTGGATTGTAGTAGGATGAAACTTGTAAGTGGGCCTGACCAGTCTTGGGATTGATCGTGCCGAGCAGAGACTATCAGTCACTCTTCCTACGACGTAGGACTTCTCTCCGTGGTTGAACTTTGGATGTTCTTTCAGTTTGGTTTTAATTAGGGGCCCACTAGAGATGGATTCCTGAGTTGTTAATTATTTGAGGTTTTATGGAGGATTGGATTTCTGGATTTTAATTTTATTTATTCAAGGATTTTTAAACTTAGATTTCTTTCTGCTCTTAATTATTTATTTCTTGTTTCATTTTTGTATTCCGTGTTCGTTTTAAATATTAATTGTTTGATATTTCCTCAGGTTTGAACTTGGGCCTGATCAACCCATGTCTCAGATCCAAAGGGTATCACAGTTGGTATCAGAGCACTCCAGGTTCAAGTGTCTCTAGGGTGTTGCGTATTAAGATTTCTGCATAGCATTTTCTCTTGATTAGAGCTTAAGTTTATGATTCATTGTATTCCTGTACGGTTCGCTTAGAACGTACTGATGTCAATCTTATTCTGTAATTTCAGAATGTTTGGCACCAGAAAAAGGATGTGGTCCGCAATGAAAGCATAGAAGGACCCATGGAAGAAGAAGGTTACTCCAACGATTCCGTGCGAAGGCCGACCAAGAAGGCAGAATTGGAGACCAAGGAATTGGTTCCAATAGGTGTTGCTTCAGAGTATAAGTCAAGGAAGGTTTCTAGTGTGCGACATTGGCCACCATACTGTGGACCTAACACAACTTTGGTG